CACCCCCCCCCCCCCCCCCCCCCCCCCCCCCCCCCCCATTTCAGGGTGGGGGCTCAAGCCATAGGGTGACCCCACAATCCTGGGGTTCTACCCAGACCCAACTGCCCTCCCTAATCTGTTACCCCCAGACTGGCTGGATGATGAAGTTTGGCCTTACTGGCTCTCTCTACAACTGCCCCCCCTACATTTTCCTCCCTGAATTTGGGGGTGCAGAGCCCTCAGGGGGAGCCTGTTACACTAGACAGAGGGGTGTCCCCCCCAGGGCTGCACTTTCACCCCTATTTATTCCTCTGCGTTTACATCAGGGTCCCCCCCTGAAAGGGGGCCCTCCCCGCTGCTGCTCCCCTGCTAAATCCCCCCTTCTTGGGGGGCCCCCCTGCCATGTTTACAGCCCACCCACCTCCTCCCATCCTGGGGAGAGGACATGGGACTTTTCTATTTTTGCAAAATAAAGTTATGGAAATTTTGGGCTGATCGTGAATTTGGAAGGGGGCTGTAGAAGGGACTTGGGGGGAAGAGGGTAACCCTGGGGTTCCCCCTGAGGTGAGGGAACACCTCTGGGGTACGTGGGGGGCACTTGGGGACCCCCAATTTAGGGACCCCTCCAGGGATAAGGGGGGTACTTGGGGACCCTGCCCAAATTGGGGGTATCAATAAAGGGGGGGGGGCACCTCTGGGCCCCTCCCCAGTTTAAAAGCCCCCATATGCCCAGTGTAAGCCCTCCCACTTTGTTTGCTGTGAGTGGGTTCTGGGGTCCTCTCTCACTCCCCCAAAGGACCCAAATTTGTGGTTAAAAAAAGCAAAAACCCAAATTTTTATTTAAATAAACCCTAAAGGAGGGGGGAGGACACACAGTGGGGGGGTGGGGGAACACTGGGGGGACACAGTGGAAAGGGGGGACACAAAATTTGGGGACCCTTAGAAAAAACTACAATTTAAAAGTGACACCCCACCCCCCAGGGCTGCACCCTGCTGCCCCCCCTCCCCTTAGCAAAATAACTGTATTAAACCCTAAATCCCAACACCCCAAAAATGAAGCTGGATGGGGGGTGTGTGTAACAGCACTGGGAGCCCTCACGGGTGGGGGGCCCTGGAGTGCCCCAACCCCCCCCCCCAC